GGAGAAACAGACAGAGGATGTGTTAGCAAAGCGGAAAAACATACAGAAGACGTTTTTTTCAAAACGGAGAAACAGACAGAAGACGTTTTAGCAAGGCGGATAAACATATAGAGGACGTTTTAGCAAGGCGAAGAAATATCACGGAGAATATTCTTCTATCTCTGGGTTCTCCACACTTGTCAGGGGGGAATCTCGTCTCGTCTCTCTATCGCGTCCCCTTGAGGTACGGGATCGGGAAAGTCACTTAAGCTTTACAGTCAAATAAGACACACACAACGAAATACGTTTCAACTCTCGTCTTAGTCGATCTTTTGGAGCACTCTATAAGACACAGCGCCCTGGGGAAAAGTTCCCAAGACTATCGCAAGACTGACCCAAGACTCGCCCAAGACTGGACTGCCTCAAGGCTCGCCCCTGGACTGCCCTCTCGACTCTCAGACTGCCTCTCTCTACCGTGCTGTGCTCCCCAAGACCAACTCAAACTCTCTTTATTCATTTTCAAAACTCTAACCAATTACAAAGCAGTAAAAAGACTTTAGGGCGTAACCTTCAATCATAAAGCCAATCACACTAAGTACTGAATACGTCATATCTTTTGAATAATCGTTCACTACATTAATAACTATGAATACCAACTGTCAGAATCGCGACGGTTATCTGGTAATTAGTTCCAAATCACTGAGCCAAGTTCCGTCCAAAACTTCAAATAGGCCTAAACGATGACAGACATAACACAGCAATTCGCTAATAATCAGCTAATTAAGTCGGTCAACAGATACGCAAAAACAAATTCATGACAGAAACATACAAAGGACGTTTCAGCAAACATACAGAGAAACATACAGAGAACGTTTTTTCAAAGCGGAGACACAAACAGGACGTTTTAGCAAGGCGGAGAAACATACAGAGGACGTTTTAGCAAAACGGAGAAACAGACGGAGGACGTTTTAGCAAGGCGGAGAAACATACAGAGGACGTTTTAGCAACTTGAAGGCGTAGAAACAGACAGAGGACGTTTTTGCGAAGCGGATAAACAGACGGAGGACGTTTTTTCAAAGCGGAGAAACATACAGAGGAAACCTTAGAGAAACAGACAGAGGACGTTTTTGCGAAGCATAGAAACAAACGGAGAACGTTTTTTCAAAGCGGAGAAACGGACAGAGGACGTTTTAGCAAGGCGGAGAAACAGACAGAGGACCTTTTTTTTCAAAGCGGAGAAACGGGCAGAGGAAGCTTTAGATAAGCCGAGAAACATACAGAGGACGTTTTAGCAAGGCGGAGAAATAGACAGAGGATGTTTTTGCGAAGCGGAGAAACAGACAGGACGTTTTTTTCAAAGCGGAGAAACAGACAGAGAACGTTTTAGCAAGGCGGAGAAACAGAGGACGTTTTTGCGAAGCGAAGAAACAGACAGAGGACGTTTTCGCAAAGCGGAGAAACACACAGGAAACTGGAAGTGGAGAAACAAGCGGAGGAAGCTTTAATGACGAAGAGAATCAGGCAGAGGAGGCTTTAGATAAGCGGAGAAACAGATGGAGCAAGCTTTAACGAAATGGAGAAACAGACGAAGAACAATTTAGCCAGGAACAGGAAGCTTTAGAGAAGCGGAGAAACAGACTATGAATCCAGGAAAAAATAGGCAAAGTTGACAAAACGTCTAATTTTTGGGCAATTAATTAGGTTATAATGAAAGAACCTCATTTTATGTGGTATAACGATGATTCACTCCTATATTCACAAAACAATTTACTCAAAGAAAATGACACGATCCCCGTTCATTTCCTTCAATTTATTGTTATGTGCTTAAAACATGATGCACCAATGAGGAGAGGGCAGAACATAGGAAAATAAAATTTAATCACAATTTCATTGAATTGTTTTTAGAAGAATTGTTTATTATTGTCAAAGCTTATTGTTTATCTGAACTTGATACTTGAATTAGAAAACATTGCTGTACACTATTTGATAGCATTCCAACATGTTGTTTATAACAGTTTCAATGCCATTGTCAAGTTTGTTCTCATAACGAAAATAAATATCTGTAGTAGTAAGATCATTAGTCTAATATTTAGATGAATGTTTGATCAGAAACTTCAAGGAACATCTGTATGTCCAGAAAAATGTGTAGGAAATATGTAAAAATATTGGTGGAACTGAAAGTACAGGTTGTGCAACTTTGTAAACATCGTTTTTGGTAAACTTGCATTTATTCAAATAGAACACGAGGTGTACATGCAATAAAACAAGTTACGCAATGCAAAAATACGCAATAACACGAACGATAAATATCATTTAAAGCCTCTTCAAAAATATGGCGAGGCATTTCTTTTGCTAAAATGAACATTATGCAGATTTGACTGAGGGCGCTGTATCCTAGCTAAATCAAAATCAAACAAATATTTGAGAAGCGTATGTAAACTATGCCTTGTATCAACTAGGAACCAATCAGCCAAAGAATAGTATCACGGAGAAGACTATATATATACAAAACTGAAAAACAATTTGGCCATTAGTCTGTCATTTTGAATCTAAACCCACACAAAATATATACAGGTTTCATACCAAGTTTGAAAAGAATTTGGCCAAGGCATCTCTAAAAATTGGTAGATGACATTTTTAGCTTTCTCGAGAATTAAAATATCTATTATTCAGTCGAAAGTGATAACATTTCTTGATAAGCCTATGTCAACTAGAGATATTTCGCCTTGTATCAGCTTCAAACAAAATCACAGAAATAACTACAGACATGCAAAACTGTCGACCCCCAGTAGTACATCCACTTCCACAGTTACCGTAATGGATGACCAGAGATATTGTTAAAGCGCGGTAGTCGTCGCGCTGCGCATGTGTGAGATGTATGGGTCTCATATAAACAAAGATTGCGACTTTGACTGTTCGAGTACGAACTGAGACGTTTCCAAGCTTTAATTAAGTAATTTTCATGTTATTGGAAGACATCGAAGGAGTCACCGGCGGTAATCAGTGCAAGTCGCACCCAGGTCAAACCTCATACATGATTTCCATTTGAAGAGCGCATTGGATTGTGGGAAAATCAATGTTTATCAACACAAATGTGGCACAGTGGGCAGCGCGACAACTACCGCGCTTTAATTCCTAACTTCACACACATTATATTGCAGTCATTTAAATGACTGCAATACCACATGGTAATACAATATGGTTTTATCAGATGCAATCACAATCCAAAAACCCACATTCATCAAATTATTAAATCGCGGTATTTTCAATATGTGCACTTTTACTTTGCCCACGTGTTTATGCAGTGCCCTCTATAGGTCAATATTGAAAATGTTAGATTAAATTAAATGAATATTTAAAAAAATATTTTATGGAGGGCAGTTGTCCAGGACGATCGTCCGGAGGGCAGTTACCTCGATACCATTAATTTGTATCGCCATATGAATTCACGTATTGCCTTTTACAGTATATACATAAATACAAATGAGTAAAGGAGTAATTTATCAACAATCTCCCATTGTGTCAACGCAGGTGACGCTATTCAGCGGCGATCTGTGTGTCAATGACAATCTCCATCTAAATACGAGTGATGGCGTACTGCATAAATACTGTTTTGAAGTCGGCGTGCACTTATAACAAAAAGTGCTCTAAGGTTGAATGCTCTTGCATATTCAGACTCATGAGAATCATCGGTCGTGTTATACAAGCGTGTATATCAACACTGAACTGCATGTATTGTGTCGAATTTATGGATAATTATCACCTGAAGTGATGTACATATTAGTTACATATATAAAACATACAAATTTCAAAACAAGAAAATATGAAAAAATGGAATTTATAAAGTATTAAAGCAATCTGTTTATAATTGTAGTTTTGAAAATAGTAACATTTTATTAGCTGATTTAGTATCAGCGCCGAGCTTGTTCAAAAGATATGTAAATTAGTTAAGTGGCATTCTTGAGACAATATCATGTATCAGACTATGGTCACGCGATATGCAAATAATTTTAAACTTACGTCACGTTTACATTTCGTTCCACACTGCAGGTTTGCAACCATAAATCCCCCGTGTGCACTCAACCATGATTTTTGTAGTACGAAACGAGGACTTAAGTTTTAGGTTCGATTTTTTTCACATTTGATCGATTTTATTCACATTTGATCGATCAATTTTGTTCACATTTGGTCGATTTTGTTCACATTTGGCACAATTCATTACATACATGTGCATGTCAATTTTGTTTTATTCGATCACAGTTGACTGATTGGTGGTTATTTTTCGTACCTAAGACATTTTGTCATCAACCATTGCTCAGACATGCCTGGACTGTTTTCATTCAAACATGATACATATTTAAAATCGCGAATTGATTCAAAGGGCATTTTAGTTTCAAATATCTTTACCGATTTCTCTTATATTATTTGACCTATTAATGGTTTAAATGACGCACAACGACAAGGTATAAATGGTATATGCACTTTAATTTGATTTCAGTTTCGATAAAATTCAGCCGACTGGCGGCCATTTTGCCCGACAAAATAGCATAATGCCAACCATTTGGATACAATTACATTCTTAGTATATGCATTGCTTATTTCACAGCGGTGGATTCTTATTACCAGCCAGATCAGAGTACATGCGCCTTGAATGCTCGGTGACATGCACCATTGATCATGATATATGCCACCCATTCTTCGAATACTCATTGAACTGTCTGGAGTATGTTTATCTGTATAATATTGATCCGGTCTGTTAAAGATGCAATATTGACGAAAACATATACTGTACACCAAGTTGCATTATGATCATGATTTATCATGAGCAAAAAATGTTGCGTTTTTAGGACACATTATTTGATATATGAAAATACGCTAGTACGCATTGTTATTCGTGCTACTTGGAGATCATTTTTAATTTTTATGTCATGATAAATCATAGCCCAATGTATTCGTCAACTTATCGAACAACAATATTAAATAGTAAACGTTTTTGTACATATTGCATGTTAAAGCGCGGTGGTCGTCGCGCAGCGCGTGTTCGAATTTCGTGTAAATAAACAATGTATTTTACACGCGTTGTATACGTCGCTATGAGTCCCATATCGAACAGGACGCGGCACGACGACTGCCGCCCTTTAAGGTGTGCTGCCTGACTCCGTGATGATGGCACCATGAATCACAGGCACACGATTGAAAAATTATAATATGTGATATGTATAGTAAACCATGTAATAAAACTAGTAGTGAAAGATCAAGATCTGGGTACACATTTGAACAAAACTCGCATCCCTATTTTGAGGATTCGAATGATTCGCACTGCCAGTGCTGTAAACGACAACAGAGGGCGCTTATCCCAGGACAATGTAAGACTAGAGGTCATAACTGGTGAGAACAATTCCCGATAACAATGAACGTTGTATTTTTGTAGTGAAAATGTGTGAATTCTAGGATATTTGTGAATTCCTAACACTATAAATGATTGGTGACCCTAATTTAATGTTGTCAAAACAAATCTGATTACGTGCAAAATCGAGGATAAGTCTATCTCACTATGTCACACTAAAATATCATCACGTACTACTGGTATATTAAAGAATTCCCTTCTCAATATTTTTTTGTAGACTTCATAAAACCTAAAAAGAAAAAAAAAACATAACGTTTAATATAATATATTTTTTTCGTTAGTGCTTTGACAATAGTTATCATGGATGATGAACTTGGAAAAAACACAACATCGGCAATAGGGCCATTTATCTTTCTTCTTCGCCGTGTCTATTTTGATCACGGTAGAGCAAAGGATTTCCTTAGACTGTTTTTTCCGAAAGTCAAATTTCAGTTATGAGATTTGATATATTTTAGTTCCAAATGGAAATCATGATTAATATTCCCTTTGCATTTCAAACCGACCAATATATTAAATGCATGGGAATTCCGG